CGGCGGCGGCAGTTCGGCGGCAGGTCCTTCGCTCCTAGAGGGAGTGAGGGACCTGCCACCCCCGAATTGCCGCAGGTGCCGCCCCTCTCCGTTGGCCGCCCCAAGCACCTGCTTGTTAAGCTGGTGCCTGGAGCCGGCCCTGTTCACCCCTCCTGGAGCCCGTGGCCTTTTTGGTGTTGAATAAGGAGGCTGAGATCTTTCACGGCGTTCCCCCCGCCCCCGTTCCTCCTAACCCGTCTGTCGTTATTCTGTAGATACAAATATCTGCCAGCTCCCTATGCAGCCTGGCCCATGTCAGGCCTACGTGTCCCGCTACTTCTACAACTTGGCCACCAAGAAGTGTGAGAAGTTCAGGTATGGCGGCTGCCAGGGCAACGGGAACAGGTTTGCCACCAAAGATGAATGTGTCGAGACCTGTGTGCGACCAGGTAAGAGAGTGAGAGAAGCTCAGCTAGTTGGGTCGGGAGCTGCCAGATAATCGAGATGTTAATGCAAAGGTGCTGGGGCCGCAGGGGTTGATCACCACTATAGTGACTGATTAGCTGCATCACAGTAGTGCCTGCACAGACCAGGGCCTCGTTGTGCTAGGGGCTGTACAGAGGAGGCTAGGGAGTTAAGAACAATCCTGCTGAAGACGTCTATAGCCTTTCCCCCAGGACCGCAGACCTGCTGGCATGGCTCAGACGAGTTATGCTCGTCTCTGGCACTGCTGGGGTGGGGGCTCACGGATCAGGAGTGAGTCCCAGTCTCAGACACTTCATTGCTTGAGAAACGGCAATGCTGGGCATTTCCTCGTTAACCCCTGAGAGTGCCCAGGAGCCCAGCTTTGCCTTTGGCTCAGAGATTCCATACACAGCAAAACTATACTGTCCGAACCTGATCCCGAATGCAGATGAGGCCTGGGATGAGCCCGGCCCCTCGCTTACTGGGCACTGGCAGGCGTAACTGCAGGCCTTTCACCTTTCACTTTGCTGTCCTGCTCCCCACCCTCTGGGTCCTCTCCCTGTCTGACCGACTGCCCCTTCTTCCACACTGAAGACAGGAGTGACAGAGAGACAGCAGGCCCTGTGGGGGCAGGGGACACAGTACTGCCAACTCCAAATGTTCAAAAACCAGGAGTCAGGCTCACCAAAAATCATGAGATTGCCTTTAAAACCATGTGATGATGTGAATGTAGTAGATGCGGTATTCTTTTTATTTGCCTTCTGCTTTTTGAGCCTGTAGGGTGCACTGGGGTCACATTTTGTAGCTTTCTTCACAGTCACAAGGGGTAGAAATGTACTTTTTCTTTAAAAATGAAGGCTGAAATCATCACAGATCCACTTGACTCCAGGAGCTGGCGCTTTAAGGAAACCAATAATTATCATGAGATGCATGACAAAATCGTGAGAGCTGGCAACACTGTCAGGACCCTCCAATATTCAGTGCCTGGTTGATCAGCAGTGAAAGGCGATGGTGTTACACATACCAGGCACAAGGTCCTGCAGTGCATCCCCAGGCAAACTCCCGCTCCAGCCTCCAGGCTGTTCCCTGACTCTGTGGATTCCAGAGCTGCACAATCCCGTCAACCAGCATGACGGGGCGCACTGCCTCGGCACTGAGTTTTCAGTATTGCTTGTCGCTAAATGACGTCAATCAGTGTTACAGTTTTTTCTAATTATAGTGAGACTGTAGTTAAGGTCTAGACAAAATTGTTTAACATGAATTATATAAAGACAGCAGAAAAAATATGTCAATTTTGTAGACAAATCCCAATTCCTAGAATGTTCAACATGCCAATTTATGCACCTAATTTGCTTGGGAAATTGCACGTGCATTTTGTCTGCCCATTTGGCTGCCTAATGTTCATGAAAACTTGTCCCACTGTGCTTCCACGTAATTCTTGTGCCTGGGTTTCACGTGGGGCTCTGATACACCCACAGCTCTCAGACATTTGGGTCAAGTCCTTGGTTAGCCCCAGCTCTCATACTTCTCACCCACTCCAGAGCCCGGGCCCTTGTTCGCTCTCAGCGAGAGGCTGAGTTCCTTCGCAGATTTCCCCCTTTCCTCCTCTGCAGTTAATCCCGTTTGCAAACTCCCTGTGGACTCTGGCTCATGTTTTTCCTATGAGACCCGCTACTTCTACGACTCGGTCACCAAGAAGTGTGGGGCGTTCACTTATGGCGGCTGCGAGGGCAATGGGAACAGGTTTGCCTCCATCGACGAATGTCTCAGGACCTGCGGAAGTGCAGGTAAGAGAGCGACAGACTCTTAGCTGGGTCAGGAGCTGCCTGGGTCAGGAGCTATGGGGCTGAGCTATAATAAATATATGGAGATATACCTATCTCCTAGAACTGGAAGGGACCCCGAGAGGTCATTGAGTCCAGCCCCCTGCCTTCACTAGCAGGACCAAGTACTGATTTTCCCCCAGATCCCTAAAT